CTCGAAATGGGTGTCTGCGTGCGGCTCAAAGGTGAGTGTTGTTTATAAGAAGGTTGTTTGGTTCTTGTTTTCTTGGTTTGCCGGTTTTCCCATAGATGTTGCCACTTTTAGCTGGCAACTTGCCCCAGTTGTTGTTCTCGTGCACTTGCTGGCTTTCGAGCCAGTCAGGCGTGGCAAATTGCAAACTAATTTATTAAAAACGGATATATGAGCAGAATTTATATATTGCACCGGGGTTGAGCTTCGGCTTCGGCTCCAGCTCATTGCTCTGCAATATTGCCAGAGTTCATAATTTCTCCCTCAAGGCTAGAAGGTAAATAATGTGCTGTCAGCTTGTCAACGGCTATGAATTCGAATCCCCCGCCTTTGTTTATTGTGTGAGAAAGTTCTTGCTGTTGATTTTAAACATTTTTGCTCATTATATGCTGGAAGCACCAGCAACTCAGCAACTTAGAAACTCAGCTCGTCAGACTGGTCACAGTTTGAATTTGAAATATGATCCAAAAACCGGCGTTGGAAACGTTTGCTTTTCAGCCATTAAGTTTCATTTCTCAACTGACTGCTGTCAACTGCAGCTGCAGATTTTGCTTTTGCAGCATTGTCTCCTCTGACACCGAGATGACAATTCTCTAGGCAAGCTAAAGGTAATCATATCTCTGCATTTCCCAGTATAAGCTGTCAATCAAAGTGAGTTTACCCCCCAACTCCTACCTCCATTTGCACTGCTCAAAAGGCAAAATAGATTGCTATCTGATATTCGAGTACACGTCAGTGAGCTTCAATTAGGGACATCTCGGAACGGAGCTCGGACACGAGATGCAAAAGCCCCTTGGTTAATTTGCGAGCTCAGGAATAATGTGGCATGAAAAATTCCGAAACCGAAACGACCGAAAGTTGCAGCAGCAGCAGCAGCAGCACTTAATTGCCAGTTCCCCCGAAGGGCCAAGTTGTGAAATATTGATACTCGTACTTATGCATAAAGGCCCCCGACATCCCGACATCCCAACATCCCGGCACTCCATTGCCACGTATTGAGCTCGATAAAACCAGCTCGTTTCGAGGGTCTCTCAGCTCATTTTAAGCGCACTTTAATGGCAATTATACGCCTGAGTAGCTGTTTGTGTTGGCAAACTTTTCGGGGCGGTGGAGGTGGGGGCGGTGTGAGTAAAAAGCGTCAACAGCACCAGACACTGGCAAAGCCGGCAAGCAAAACAAACACACATCGTATACTATACTACGCTATACGCTATACTATACTATATCTACTCGCAAAACACCAGACGATCCTGCAGGATGTTGTGACTCGACATAAATCCTTTGGCGTATAAAATACTTGCAAACATTTTGCTGCTGCACGCACCAGATTATTAAAGTTCTGTGTAAATAGTTTATGGTAATCATAAAAGATATACCAAGCATTCTTGCTTTACGAGCAATGGGGCGTAAGAATAAGGTGCTTCGTCCATTAAACGGGGCAAACATGAAATATCACTCATACGCCCGGTTGCCCGCCCTGACTTTTAACTCTTTTTGTATCTACAAAATTTCGGTGAAGAGTGCCTTTTACCGCGTAACTTGGCCATTTGTCAATTAAAATGATCAAGAAAGGCGCGCGAAATTCGCCCATTGCACATCAAAAATAACAACTTGCCACCTGAGTCGCAAATTTTTACGATGCACATCAATTTTGCCAAACAGAAATGGCTGCTTTAGTGCGCAGAACTTTTTCGCAGGGGGTTGCCGAAAAAGGGTTAAAACTTTGCTTTTCCCGCGCTAACTGATGCCCGGCTGCCTGTCATTTTTCAAAGGACTCCGTCTGGCACCCTCGCTTTTCTGACCATTAAACGCTGCCGAGCGTTTTTGTAGCTGTTTACGCTTTTGGCTTCATTTTGGCCGCCCGGCAATTATCAAAGTTTGAGCCAAAAGTGCTGATTAATTTTTAATGTATATCTTTGTCGCCGTGCCCTTGCTAACCCCCTTTTTCGCTAGGTTACCTGCTCGAAAGTGCCGAGTCATTTCCGAAATTATAAAGTCATTTTGTTGCCCTTTTCGAGCGGGAGTATTGGGTGGGATGAGTACAATAAAAGCCAGGCGCTGATTTAAGCGCTTTCGCTTTTTGGCTCTGCCATCTCGCTATATCAAGTGGTCACCGAGTAATGGGCACTCAATCCGAAGTATCTATCAATTGGGTTTGTGAAAAAACTTTTACATGCTTGAGATTACAATGGTAATAAAAATATCACGTTTTTCTTAAAAACCAAAAATAAAATATTTGTTACATATATTGTTTTTTAAGGTGAACTTCAATTTATTAGAAGTTATATTTTAAAATTCAATAAATATTTCAAAAAATAAATAATATATAAGTAATTCAGGAATTATTTTTTTAAATTATTAAAATTTATACTCACTTCAAAGTTTCGGCTCTTACAGATATGGGTTATATTTATTAAATTATGAGTATGCAATTTAAGCAAATTTTTTAATGATAGAATGACCTATTTTTTTTTTGTGTTACTTTAATGATAAAAAAAAATAATACCAATCAAACCACTAATATCCGTAAAGACCTTTATAATTGGCAGCTTTCTAGGGGGCTTATTAAAATCAAAACCAAAGGTTTGATAGCAGGGGTCTGTCAGGCAATCGCATCCAATTTAGCGATCTGGCGTGGTTGTAACCCGTTGTTGGGGTCAGTGTCAGTGGCACGGTTAAGGGGTTAAGGGGTTAAAGGGCACAAGGGCACAGCCGGGAGTCTCATCAGCAGATTCGCGGTCAGCTATCTGACCGGAGCGCCATGTTCATTGCGTTTTGCGGCTTTTGTCATTGGCCTGCGAAGTGGGACTGCTGGATTTTGGGCTCCGCTCGCCGGGACCAATAACGAATACGGAATACCCATTGCCCACTGTCCACTGCCCTTTTCCCACTGCCGCCGGCTGCGGTGACCAGTGGTCAGATGAGCAAAATTCCTAACGAAGCGGTTAATGTGGGCAGTGCAATTATGAATTTATACGCATTTATCCGCCTGCAATCGCCATTTATATTTACATTCGCAGATGTTGAATTGCAGACAAGCGTTGATTTGCACGCATGCTTATTATATTTGATTTTTAGTTGGTTTCCGTCGCTTTGCGGTTTCCTTGTGCATAGGTACGTGGCATATAAATGCTAATAATGTGGCCAGCAGCAAATTAAATTGATAAAATTGACTACACATAGGAAAAAAGTTTAGACATGAAGAAACGATATTAAATGGGTCTCATAGAAAAAATTCAAAACCTTTTAAAATTTTACTTTGTACTATAACACTTCTGGTATATATATATTTAATATATTTAAATTCTTAATTGACAGCTTCTTTTTTTGGTGTAAGTTGTCAAAATCAATATTTATTTATAACATTAGGGAGCTTATTTTCCATATACGTTTTATCTTACACTGCAGTAATCGGATATATTTGATCAATTTGACAATGCAAATATATGAACTTCAAAGAAATATAACAAATTTCAAAATTCCATATTTTAGTTAGCTCAAATATTATAGTTAAAAATATTCCTATTGATAGGAATTTTTTTGGGTAAGCTCATCAAAAATCATCATTGATTCTTAATCTAGGGAGGTAATGATCCCATACACTTCCTTCATCTGTTTAATTTCAACTATTATATTGCGTGTGGTGTAAACTGGTTTCTCACTGCGCCTTTTAAAATGGAGTCGAATGGCTCCCACGTCAATTAGAGTTAATTTCATTAGCCGGCAATAACTTGCAGCACTTTCCACCAAAAACTACTGGCCCGACTTTTCGCGACCCTTGCCGAACTTTACTTTTTGGCTAATTTTGTTGCTGTTTCGTTAACGCCTCGCTGAAGTTGAGCGTCGCGTTTATTTGTGCGTCATTGTTGCCGGCCTGCTGCTGCTTCTGCTGCTGTTAAAAGTTGCTGCTGCCGGAGTTACATTTGGCAATTAGCCGCTGCATTTTCCTGCACTTTCGCTACTTTTGCATTGCAGCAACCAGTACCCCTTTTCCTGACCCCTAGCTACGCCCCTCCCTGCCCCTCGCACTTCAATACATATTTATTAGCCGCATTTGTTGGATTTTAGCTCAATTAAAAAGTTTTACTCGGCTACTTTTCTTCATTTGGGACCTGCCTTCTGACTCCGACTTCAACTTCGACTCGGAATGTCTTGTTTTGTTTTGCTGGTAACTAGGAACTGGGATCTGGGAGCTGGTTTCTAGGAGTTGTAAGCTTTGGAGTTACTCTGTCCTTTTTTCTTTTCTCTGCTTCGCAAGCACTAATTGCAATTACTTTGCCCTGACTCTCCGGCGGTTAGCAGCTGAAAATAAAGGCTAAGCCAAACACGAAATACCCTTGCTAAACCACAAAAATATATGTTCCTCCTAAAGCCGATTTCTCAATGTCAAGTTAACTTATGCCGTTCAGTTTAATGCTGTTTTTGCTTTTATCTGACCGAAAACTCTTAGCTACAGGTAATGTTTCAAATAAATATGTCGGTCGACTAAACTAAGCTTAAAATCGAACTGATTACACCCTTTATAAGAATTTTTCGTTCCAAAAATTAACATCACATTGAGAAATCGAAATTTTTTTTCAAATAACTTAGCTTTATGCTTACTTTATCTGACAGATAACAAACTAAAACGTTAACCTGACATTGAGAAATAGATCCTTAATCATGTTTCACTATTATAAAAAACTGAAGTGTTATAACACCATTTCTTAAAGAATAGTGTATTTCATCAATTCTACCATATACAATTATTCCGTCGTAAAATATTTAAGACTTATGGATGGTCATTGTCCGGTTTTTCGGTTAATTAAGAATAAATTTAACCAAACTATAGTTCACACTTCACACAAAATACCTTGAAGCCCCTCGAGAGAGTATAAAAGGAGACGAGAATCGCTTGAAACCAGATTAAGAATTTATTATTTAGGACTTAACATTATATGCATACATAGTAGAGTGCTGAAAAGGGAGCTGGTGAACTTTCAGCCCAGCAAATGATTGTCGGAGGCACTCCAACCAGGTGCCACGTAGTGGGGTCGCTGCTTGTGCACCACCGTGCGCACCACTGGCACTTTGACCGGATACGGATAGTAGACTGGCTGGACCACCGGCTTCTCCACTCGGTAGGGAACCCTGCGCTCCACCACAAAGGGATGGGTCGCTCCACGGGCACGGGCTTCACCCGCTCGATGGGAATCTTCACCTCCTGCATCTGAGGCACTGCCACCGTATTGGCCACGGGTATCTTGATGGGCATCGGTTTGGGTATGGCTGCGATCACGGTGCGGGGCACTTGCACCTGGACGGTCTGCTTGTAGGGAACATGCTGCTTCTGGTAGTGGGGGAAGGGCACATTCTTGGTGATCTCGATGTGCTTGGCCAGCGGCAATCCAGCCACGGCCTTACTGCTCTCTGCGGAATGGCGAACACTGGTGGTTATGGCCGGCAGATCTGCCACTTGGCCATCCCTGTGGGAGTACAACAGCTGCTGATCCTGGGCAACTCCCAGGCGCTGGTGCTGTCTGTGATCCTGGAGAGTTTGAGGCAGATGTTGATGCTTCTCTGGCTGATGTTGCTGCTGGTGTTGCAGTGTTGCTGCTGGTATGTCTGCTGTTGATGTTGCTGCTGGTGTTGCCCATGGTGTCTGCCCGACAGCTCCTGGTTTTGATGGTGGCTCGATAAGGAGGCCTCCTGCTGACGCTTCACTGGGTTAGCCAGTGTTTGGAGCCCTTTGAGCCGCGCATAGACACTGGAACTATCGTCCTGCTGTTCCTCCTGCTGTCTGCCGGTTTCCCTATTTTCCCGATAATTGGAAATTTGTTCGAAATGGTAATGACTGGGGGGCGACGTGGGAAAGCCACCCGCGGCCTATATGCATAGCTTTCGTAGTGATGGGGCTCCCTATGATGTGGCTCCTCCTCATAGCCAGCGGAATTTGGCTCATAATTTGCCGTATTAATGACAAAATCGATATTGGCCGATGGGTCGCGACGCGGCTCCTCATCCCCGTGAATTGGGAGTGCGAGTGCGAATGCAGTTTGCTGTTGTAGTAGAAGGGCGCAAAGCCATTGGCCGTGGTGCCCAGGGATGAGGCGGCAGGATGTCGACTATGATGGTGGTGGTGGGTGGTGGCCAGGAGCTTGTGAGCATTGTTCCAGTTCGGGGGCCATAATAATTTCGCGTATATCCTGTTAATCCCGGCAACGATTCCACACCCGCTTCCTGGTAACGATGTTTGCCCTGTTCCAGCGCAGGAGCGCGTATTCCGGCAGGGATAGAGGCAGTGGGGCATCCAGGGCCTCCATTGTCATGGCCAACGAGAGCCACATTAATGCATAGATCATTAATGAACTGTTGGCATGTGGGCCATTGCCTTTCCCGGATTTTTGCGGTGGCCTCATAACGGTGTGCGAGTGTGTGTCCTGGCTGCTGGCTCCTGTGTCCAGTGTCCCAATCCTCGAGCGGAGTGCGTGTTTGGATGCAGCTGGCGTGGGTGTTGGTCGGCTTTGAAATGCAAATTTGTGACATCGCGTTGGTGTTTTTATAACGCACATGGAGCGCACTACTTGTAATTGGATACTCTTCGGCACTTCAAGTTCAATGGCTCCCGGCTCCGGATTGTGTAAGTGGAGGCCCTCACTTTCACTCGGCGGAACAGTTGTCCAGATTGTCCCTTTCAGATGCAAGTGAGGCGATCCGCTGCCCGCACAATCCGCAATCATAAAGTCCGCAGCCACCGCAATTTCAGTGCCGCAATGGACATCGACCTATTGAACAGTGGGTAAAGGTGGTGGGAGGAATAATCTAATCTGAGGGACCTAACTCATTTTAAACAGTCCTTTAACATTCACATGTATTTTATTTATTGATAAAATTATATTAATATTTTTATCGAATTTTAAGAACTTATATTTTATATAGTAGGTTTTATACCTAAATATTAATACCCACGGTTAGTTTATTTCTCAAAGTCAGGGAAACTTAGAGAAAAAAGAGTCTACAGCCTGACCATTTATGAACTTATTCATTTTGAAATAAAAATATTTATTATCTCATAGATATGCTATATTTAGCCGAGACTTTGTTGTAACAAATACAGTCGTAATTAAAGCAAAATTCATCGGGCAATAAACATTTCATATTTAATTGCTGAAGTAATGCTTTCAAAGTATTTAATCTTATTTTACCGAGGCTTAAAACCTTCCCCAAATAGTTTGATTTTTGACTAGTTTTCCGCTATTTTGATCACTGTGCTCCGGTGGCTCACAGCCGCATCGGATTTCACACTGTGGAAGCTTGCGGTCAATGTCGCGGCCATTTCGATGTTTGATTGCACAAATGGTGACGTGCGTTTCATGTGCTTGCGGTGCGGTTTTGCCAAGTGCAATTGCAATCGCCGTGATCCGTGGCCATGTGAAACCCGTTTAAGATCTCGGGTTGCAGCACTTTCTGTTTTCAATTGGATGCAGTCGACGACATTTGGTATCGATGTTCTTGCATAATTTACCGCCCTCCGCCCTCATCCCTCACACAGTCACTCACAGAACTGACAATACACTTTGAAGCAAAACTGATTCAATTTTAAGGAACCTCCGAGAAAATGGGATTTTCCGCATTTTTAGCGGGCACTTAACAAAATAAGAAGTAACATAGTAACAATAAATATTACATATGCTTTATCATTTTATGTTGGATTATATGTATCAAATTACTTTCGATACCTTAACTAAGTTTTACAAAATTATGATTTTGAAAAAAAAAATTGTAACCATTTAAGTATCATGAGAAATGCGATGTTAAAAAATGGTTTTAACAATAGTTAATTTATTAATTATTTATATTTTCCAGACTATGAAATACTCCAAATCAATTTCAAAAAAGCTAACAAAGAAATATTTTTCAACTGTATAAAGTGTGTATGACGAAATAGAAAAGCTGTTTGTGAAATATGATACTTACGTTCTGTTTATGGAAAGTGGGTGGCCAAAGTGGCTAGAATTTTCACTCAGTGTATACGCCTGAAGCGGGAAATCAAATATTTCCTCGCCAGCTAAGAGAAAGTCGGCGAAACATGGAGATAAAGTGAGTTCTTTGGGTTGCTAGCCAAGCATCTTTGGATCATTCATCATTCTGCTCTGCATTTAAGTTTGAAAAGTTCACCAGGTTGGCGTCGCCACCTGTATATGTATACCAGCCACGCCCCCTTTCACCACCTAACGCCCACCGCCCTCGCCCCCCGTCACCGCACTTTCGGCACAAAGTATTTGCACAATTGCTGCTCGAGTTGCGCCCGAAATGACAGCGCAAAGTACACGTAAAGTGTATTTTCACATTGAATGAGGTTAAGCTTCGTTAAATTTTGCTCAGCTTCGCTGTATAGTTAGACCCCCCCTTCTTCTGCGCCCCTGGAAACCATTTTTTGAATATGTGTGGGTGGGTGGTTACTTGTTGGATGCAATTCATTTTTTTGGTTCTTTTTTTCATTACTCCAAATGCTTTCAAGCCCTGTGAAGCATATTTTAGCAAAGTTCCATAGAAAAGAAGCCAGCCAGCCAGTCAGCCAGCCAGCCAGCTAGCTAGCTAGCCAGCTCGATAGGGAGGGGTTCCGTTCTGGCCAAAATATATAGAAAAGAAAAAATGTGAGGAAAATCCACGAAACGATGGCAAAGTTAAATGCTTGCATACACATACTTATTAAAGTTCAAAGTTTCCTTTGGCACTCTCTGCATAAAATCCATCATAAAATTAACAGGCGGAGAAAAGAAGCAGCAACAGCAGCAGCTTTTGCTGTGACACTGAAACTTCATTAAGTCACGTTAAAACGTTAAAATGAGGAAACGGTTGAGGGAAAGCTAAAATCCACAAGTAAAAACAGAAGCCAAGAGCCAAGGCAGCTTGCAAATAGCCAAGAAATTCCAGCTATGGCATAGTTGGCCAACGTCGCCGGCTGGTCTTTGTTTGACCCGGTGGGTGGAGATTTTAGGGGGATTTTGGGGGCCTTTCAGGGTTCCTGGGGGTCGATGGAGAGGTCTGCCCGGTCAGCGTTGCATGCGAATTTAATCAAGTCATGCAATAGAATTTACGGTTCCATTGCCTTTCGGCCGTCGATGCGGTGGTCGTCGGTTGCTGGTCCACAGATTGGGCCCAAAACTTGGCCTTGGCTGTAGTTGAGGCCTAATGCGAACTGACTGACGTAGCTGCCCTCCCTCTATCCTCCACTCCCAATGTCCTCTGGCTTCATTCCTGGAAATGCGCCGCCTGTTTGTGTTTTTTGTTCAATGCTTGTTTTAAACAATTTGCGGTCCTGAGGTCGCGGGGTTTGGGCCCAAAGTTTGTAAGACATTTTTTTTTGGCACAGCAAAAATTCTTGTACGTGATTAAATTCTTTAAATTAGAATTTATAATTCGAATTGTGGGACATTTTTCCCATTCTCTACTACTTTTTTGAGGAAACATTGATATTTGCATACGAGTGTTTGAAGAAAGGGAAGTATTAGAGGGCATGTGTAGATTTAAAGGTAAATATGAATAGAAATTAGAAGAATGTTAAAGAAAATTGTATATTTAAATTACTTGGCTATGTTTCATAAGAGAAAGGATGGGTTAAGCATGAATTAGCGCTGATATTAAAAAAATGTAAAAAGATGGTCATAAAAATGTGTTTTTTTTTGAAATTCTAGTACTATTAAAAATATTCTCAAATCTCTAACATTTTCTTCAGTGATAGGAACTTCCTTACTTACTTACTGGTTCAAGGAACTTTTTGGAATGCCTTGGCCAAAGTAACTGGAACTGGCAACTGGCGGCATTTCATTGCCTAAATTCAACCCACAGAGAGGGTCTGGAAGTCAGGCAGTTGTTACTCAGGTGACCGAGGACACAGCCTCGCGTTTTGTGTAAACTTTTCGATTGACTTGAATGTCAGCGCTGGCAGGACCTTCCACTGCCTGCCTTTAAATAAATATCAACAGTTCTAATGTGCTGCAAAGTGACCGGGGGAAAACAAAAACAGGAGAAACGAAGAAAAAATAAAATTTTTCATTACCTTCCTTTTTGGCCAAATTGCGTGTGAGGCAGGGCCTTTGGCCAGATTCCTGGCCTGGCCTGCTGGAAATTTGCAAACCGCAATCAAAATTCCACGCCGCGGCTCTTAATTGGTCTTTCTTCAGGACGGAGTTTCCCGGCTCTATTCCTTTCTCCTATTCCTGTCTTGGCCACCACATCGCATTTCATTTGATTTTCTTTTCCTTTCGGTTTGTTTTCGCCTACGTCCCACACAAATGCAAATTTCAATTACGCGTATTGCGGGGCCAAATTGAAATGCCTCGGAAAATATTTTCCTGCCCTGGGTCATAAGAAATGCAGCGCGGGCTTCACTTCAGTTCAGTTCGTTTCAGCTCAGTTTAGTTTAGTTTGGTTAAATAAATTCCCCTTTTTGGCCCCCGCGATCGGCAATCGCGTGCATTTCATTTGCATTTGGAATGCGCGCCGCAAGTTTGTTCCTACTTCAAATTTATTTGCTAATTTTGTAACATGTGTCCTGTGTTTGGTCTAAGTTGAAAACTTTTCACTCGAAATTTGAATGCCAAGTGGCGGGATGTTGGGATGATGGGGCGAAATCCATTTGGCCGCTGCGGCTAATGAAATTTTCATTCTCTCGACTGCCCGAAAAGTTTGCCATCTTCTAGTTGCGGCTTTTGTGGCTGTCGGTGGCCAGCTAGGAATTATTTCATTTAATTGCCATTGAAATATTTAATATTAATTAATGTGCCTTAATTGCTTTGGCCTTCCTGGGAGCATGGGTCCTCAACTCATTAAAAACACATCATCGAGCTGATCACACTGGACACGCTCTTGTGGCCGACGCTCATCATATTAGGAGTATTAATCTTAATAATTGCTGCATATTGCCGGCAAAAGAATTCAGCAAAACAATGCGAAAAGTTGGCCAAACAAAGCCACACAAGTCGGAATGTCCTTTCACATTTTCATTCCAAGTTTTCGGCCATCTATTTGTCTTTCATTTATGACGCGACCCCGACTTTGTGTCTTTAACGTTTGCCGAATTATTAATGAATTTCGCCCTTGAGTGGGATTTTCCTTGAGGTCACGGCTCGTTCACAAATAGAATTCAACATCAAAGGAAAGTTGTGAGTTTAATCGATTGGAGAAGCTGCACATGGATATGAGCAGAAACAATTTAGGGTCTAGTTTAATTTAATTTCAGTGTTTGAATTAAAACAATATTATGGAGCTAAGACTTTTATAATATATATTTTATGTGAAATATATTTTGTAAAAGATTTTGTATAGTAAATAAAATCCATTGTTTGAAGAAGAATCGCTATAAACTGGTTTACAAATATCCAATGTTTATCTTTAATCCCAGCTACCTAAAGGAAATGCTTAATATAGGAATTTTATTAGGAATCAATCAAATAAGCCAAGCCAAATCTAAACAAGCCATTATTTTTGTCTAAAAGTTATACCCTTTATTACATTTTTGAATTCGATTGGGGCAATTGTTCAAAACTTTACTGTATTGGCCATAGTTTTCCATTTGTTCCGTCGTATTATATCCGATTTCCCG